GGCCTCGCTGCGTATGACCATAGCTCGGATCCCCTGTCCAGAACCGATAATTGGCAGAAGTTTGATGTAGGCGTATTTGGCGGACGACTCCACAGCTCCCGTGCGTCTCTTTCCCAGGCAAGGCCTGGGGTCAGACCTGAGCCTGTCAGAGTCGCGTGAAACTGTCTGCTCTGCAAAAGTAACCCTGACCGCCTGCACTCTTTGACTCTATGCCTAAGTCAAATGAGGGGAATACGCAGAATATTTTGGAGTTGTCTTCCCCCCCCCGGCACACACCGTCCCAAAAAAGTTAACGCCTGAAGCCCTCTCACCTTGTTCAGCCGGTTATTCGTGAGCAGTGCATAGCCTTTTTCACGTGGTGTCACACGTTCTGGACGATAGAGTTTATGCAAAGCCAACGTCTTCGGATTTGACAGATCTAACTTTTGTCTTGCATTGTGCGTAGTCGTTGCCGAGATGGCTCGGGCATACCGTGGGATGGTCAGGAACCTTAAGTTGAAACAGATTTTTCTATACTTCAAAAAGTAGTTACGTGGTGTCTGGACGGTCCACTGCGATAGCAACTTTTAGGGGACTGTTTGAACTCAATGTCCAAATAAGGTAACTTACGAATTACTCTTCAGTACGAGTAGCATTCTTTATTTTACCTGAACACGTCTGTTTCAGTTCTAATGCCAATCATCATGACTAAGAAGCTATATGCTTTCGAATGTAATATGGCCTTTACAAGGAGTCACAAGAGCCAGCTTGCACAGTAGAGTTACTCCTTTCAGGGGTAACCGTAAACGGTAGCATTCAGTAGACGGTAATAACTGGCCAACGACTGAAGGAAGTCATGGCTCGTTTGAGCGGGAGTTTCCTGAGAATTTAGTTCTTAGCCAAGCGTGATAACCTGAACCGATACATCAGTTCTTCTTCGATGAGATGGTGTGATAACGAGAATAGGTACCCACATGACAACGACAATAGGTACCCAGTTCAACCCTGGTCTATTTCTTATTGCCATCCTGAGGCGCGCTCCCAGTCTTGACCCTGGAAACGAGAGGACGTGTGGTGAAACTCGACTCGGAACGCATATAGAGCGGCCTTTATTACAAATTGCTGCCTTCTTGAGTTGACAGAAAGAAAGTGGGTTGGTGGGAGATGCTGCCCTAACTGCGCTCCTGTACTCGCCCCTTTAGAAGCCCTGCCGTTTGCGGGTATAATAATTGCTCCAGGTGACTGCTGTAAACTTGAATCGCCGTGGCTGCTTCCGGTAGTCACTGATCAGCCAAGCAGGTACAATCTTGTTCGCTGCAGTTGATGGGGCGGTGTCACGATGGGTTTGGCGGAGCGCCAGCTCGTTCATTTCAGGCGGCGCCCCGAGCCCATCCCGCCTGACGCGCCCTTTCAACCGATGTTAACATGTGTGAGTTCGGGAATTCCACAATCCAGGACATTCTCCTAGACGAGTGGTCAGGCGTAACAGGTTTCCCGAATGAACAAGGACCCATCGAACGAGTGAAATCTGCAGATCACTGGCATCATCATCACTGGCGCCGCCAAAGCGTCCTACTCTTGAACACACCCTCGCATGCAGCAGTGGGATGCTCTAAAACGTATCCACTAATGCTGTTGATGAATGGTAATGTCAGTGATAAAGTCATTCAGTACTGTTTATCACACTCCTGTTATCATCCATCATTTATCCGAAACGCAGTCATTCGAGCAGTCGCACACCTTACCATGGATGAGACTATAGGAATGAGATGCGCTTCTGTCGGTGACCATGCGAGAGTTATATCAGTCATCGGGGTTACAAGCGGTGTTGCACATTTTGCCGCTGAAGCGTACCTTTATCTGCCGTTATCAGTTGCTATCACTTCCTGTTGCCCACCACCATGTTCTCGTGTACCGGGGGACAAGAGGATGTGTTCTAGAGTCCTGTTGTAATCCGGTCATACCGCGCTCCACCATGAGTAGAACGTCAAGGAGGGCTCTGGTTTGAGAAAGTATACCAGTCTGCCTTCAGTCTGTTTCAACCACCCTACTAGCATCGCGTGTGTTCGGAAGAGGATATTGATTTTGCGCGTATGCATACAGTCGATACCGATTTTCACATGATTCCATACAGGCAACGGTAGGAAGTGTCAAGCTCCAAGCTGCTTAGGCCTAAATCTACTAGAGCATCTTCTCATGGAGCTCTAGTCACTGGAGTCTATCCATTCGCAGAGGGAGCAGGACTTGCTCAATGCTGGGACATCATTGCCGTCCTGCATTTCAACGCTATGCGTGGAGCAGCGGCAATGGGTAACTTTCCCACATATTCAACGAACTTGGCGGCTCCTTATCGTTCCGTAACCTGCGCAAGGGCAGTCTTCGAGACCTGTTTGAGCAATACACAGTCCATCCGTCAATTGCAGGCCACCGATGATGACCACAATCTAAGCCGGTCATTCAGGACTGGTCCGGGTGGCAAGAAAGCAATTCGTCACCTGAAAGATGTACTGAGACACTCACGTGTTTCCAAGAGGAGTGGGTGTTGCAAGAGAGAGATCACTTCCCAGCCGGGATATACGTGGAATGAACCTTACCTCTTGATGGAAACTTTTCCATAAATAGTGATAAGCTTGTTTTTGTTACACGGATGTCGAGTCTTACATATTCAGCCTGCAGGAAGCGGTGAGGTTATAGGTACGAGATCATTATAAGCAGCGAGCGGAGTTGTAACTAGGGACGTCATTCGGCAAAGCGAAGGGGCTTTTGCAGTAAGTTAGCGTATTCCTGCACGTGAACCGTTTCACTGAGCGTCCAGCTGTGGCGCAGGCCAGTTTGTACCAATTCCTTTCTGAACCTTTCTGAACAGTGGAAGCGATCGCAGAGTTAGTGAAACTGTTGCGCCAGCTTCACAGACTGGCGCAGTCTCTTCACAAGTGGCCAGTGAGGTTGATGCAGGTGGGTGAAGCAGAAAAGGCTTTCTATAGCCGCACTACTGTTGAGACCCAATGAGCCGCCACGAAACCACAACCGGCAACTTCTTGCGCACACATTTGGAAGCCTCGCCTTGTTGGTGACCGAGAACACAGAGATGCCATCCACACTGTAGGGTGGAATCAGTTCTGCAGTTGCTCGTCAGTTACACAATGTGCATTCATTATTATCTACACGAGAGGAACCTTACATCATCATCCGAGCAATTGTCCGTCAATCATACTGTCTCCTTACAGCCACCAACAGAGGAGAAGGCTCAGAAAGTTGACGCAAGGATTGCTTTCTGCTGTTTCTTGGCGGTTCATTATCCTCTGGGAGCTATGGTGCCAAGGTGCCATGTTTGGAGGCGCTATTTTGCAATCTCCCGTGAGGAGCAAAGCTCTACGGATGAAGGGAGAGGGAAGGTGGGATAGGCAACAGTGAGTAACTCTACACGAGTCTGATGTCAAGAAGTTGTAAGGCAGAGGCGTTGAAGCTCAACGTTGCTCGAATGCCCTCCTAAACACCACCGTTGGTGCCTGTCGTTCGCTTTGTGCTCTCCCGCTGCTCTTGTCTGGTTTCTCGTCCGGATTCCAACCAGTCGTTGCCTCTTTCTCGCAACAAGTCCTGTTCAGAGCGTTTTCAAAAGTTTGCTCTGCTTTTTCTTCAACTTCACGTATACTTTTGAACCCTGATAACTTCAGCATTCGGAGGCTAATCGTGGAAGTGTACTTTTTCTAAACTTCGGCAACTTTGCTGATGAGCTTGGTCTCCGTTTATGGTAGCGATCTCCTCTTAGACATTCTGCTAATGATCCAAGATTTGCTAATTCTCCTAGTTCTATAAGAACCGACTTATGTAACTTGT